CCAGATAGGTCTTCAGAATTTGCAGTTCAAAAAACCTCCATGGGGCATGTGTTAGCCATTGAATGGGTTTAAACTAGTTGGACTGTATGATTTTGAAACAAATTTATAGTACAATTCACCCCTCCTCCCCAGTACTTCTATAACCATGGAAAGGATTTTTCACAGATCTCCGTGGAGCCTCTTTCATTCTTTTCCTTCCCTGGTAGACCCTTGGGGTGCACATTCACTTTGCAGAATACTTACTGATCAGTATACAGAAAGGAAAACCAGTGCGTGCCTCCTGTATAGCAGTCTTTCCTCCTGAGAATTTTGGCCTGCAAATTTCTGGTCTGAGATAATTTTTTAATAAACATAATTAATCTGAATACATATAAACATGCACTCTATATGAAACCCAATATTTACAATTACTGCTGTTACTAATGCTTAGTGATTCTAAAGTTTTTGATATAACCTTTACACCATGAACACCTGCTGGGTTGAACTGTGCGCTTAGTTCTTGAGGCCCTTTCTTACATGCCCAGAGAAATGCTGATTGCCACTTTGGGGTCAGGAAGCAATTTTTCTCCAGGCCAGTTTGGCCAGGGATCCCGGAGGGTTTTTGTCATCTTATAGGCATGGAACAGCAATCACCGCGGGTGTGGTAAATTGTGAACCCAGCGATCCCTTCCAACTCTATGATTCTGCGATATGATGATGGTTTGGACCATGGAGACCTGGGTTCAGATTTCACTGAACTAGATATACCGAGGGACCGATGAGCAAATCTTCTGGGTTTTTTTCTGTGTGTGATATTACCAGTTGTTGGGGAGGGGGGGATTTAGATTGGGGCTACAGCAGATGGACAGTGGGGTTAAGCTGTTTCCCTGGTTTCTTGATTTAAATCACCCCCTGGAGTTATTTGCCCCAGGGGAAAAAGGCAGGGGAGTCATTCATGACCTTCAGCCACTGACTTACAGTGTAGCCTTCTACTTGTATTTTCTTATGTTGCCTAGGCAGCATGATTAACCTTTCCCCATAATAGTGAGAAGGTATCTGGGCTTGGCATACCACCGGTTCCCAAAAAGAAAAACATAATCTATTTATCAACTATCTAAAGGTAATGCTGCTTGCAACAAGCCTGGCACAAATGCCTACTTCCCATGAAGTCTGAGGCACTGATATTAATTAGAGAAGACATGGCCCGGCTAACGGTAGGCCGAGTTCAGACTGGCAGTTTGCCCCTGTGACGACCCCTTCTCTGGGGAGGTCTGGTTTTACTTTAAAAGTGTTCTTTATGTTTTGTTCTACTGTGTATATCCGGCTGCCACCAGGAAATTTAAGGCTTTCCAAACCTTTATACTATAATATTTCTATCACTGGGTAGGTAGGTCGTGGTTTTAGGCTTTCATGAGGGTCTATGTGTTTCCTGAGAAATTATTTCTTTCAGAGCTGGCAGACTTAAATAAAATAAGATTTATTGATATAATTCGTAAATAACAGGATAGTACTCTGTATCTATGAATGGGTAAATACTGAACAATTCCAACTGGTTTTTCTCACACTTTTCTCTCACACTGTCAGGGATTTTGGCATGTAACTTTGTAACACTTTTTTCCTTAGGCCATATATGTTTACTGTTTCTTTTTATCCTGTCACTCAGACTTTTTATTTTTCTCTTTAACTTTACTTTCTTCTTTCATATACATTCAACTCTTCTTCATACACAGAACTAATTCCTATATCATCCACAAGACAGCTTCTCTCTCCAACTCCAGAACTAACTCCTTAACTTAACAACTGTCTTTATCAACTGTCACTCTTCAACTGTCACTCTTGACTGACATACCCATTCATCCACTAATTTTTACTTCCAAAACCCCTCCCCCTTCTGCCAATCACCAATCACACCACTTGCCTGTTTCAACCACCCTAGACTATCTCTCACCGCCATGCAACCAAACTTTTAAAGACACACACACACAAATAAAACAAGGAATCGTTACAGCCCCGATATAGGCACGTTTCAGAAACGTTCCACAACCGGATTAAAGGGGCCGTTCACACAGGCACATCTGTCAGGCGTTCCCCACCCAACTTGTCTTGTAATGCTTCGCTCCCAAGTTTAAAAGATACCTGATGAAAGTGGCAGCAAACCCTGGAAAGTGTGATTATCCTGTGTCCATTCCGCGCCCACAAAGTGTGAACGCCAAAAGCCATGTTTTTTTATGTGTTTATAATAAATAATAATAATAAATAATAACATAAGCGCATATCTCTAGATTGCCAAAAACAAAGCTGCGCCTTACAGCCATGCCTCCGGGCTAACAGTGTGAACACTCCTTTGTACCTCCTCCCCGGTATGCTCCCGCATCAGTCGCTGCAGTGTGAATGGGAAAACCCGGAACAGTTTGTTCCAGCTCTTTTTTGCCACGACTCCGTCTCGCTTCAAACTGCCAGTCTGAACTCGGCTGTACTGTTTCACAGCTAAGAAGAATGTGGCCCAAAAGAACAAAATGTTTCTCCCAAGCCAAAATATTTATGAACTTGGAAGGAAAAGAATTTATAAGTTTACATGTCATTGTAACCAGATATAACACTATCATTTTAGCACCCATTTAAACAAGTTTACCTCTAGAAGGGAATGTTTTAAGTGTATGAAGTTTTTAGGACAAATATTAAACATGAGATGAAGAAAACTTAGAAGTGGAAATGAGACTGCATACTCAACTCACAGCGCAATCCCATGGCAGAGGTGCCAGAGTCTCCCCCCCTTATATATCAACTTTTAAATTAAAGTTATTAAGATTATCAAGATTCTCTAACATTACAGATATAACTTCAAATTTAAATTGCAGATTTAAGTTCAAATGAAACAGCCACAAATTCTTAGGTGCAAGAGTTACATATAACACAGTCCAATCATCTAGATAGACAAACCTTACTTCATTAATAGAATTACAAATAGGCATTCATACTAAACATGTAGAGAATACCAGGTGGTATTCTTGAATACAGAAAAAACAGTATGTCTATTATATTCACAGTAGTGACAAGGTGTATAACACGACCAGCCCACATGGGACGATAGGGGCTGAGAAAATGCTTAAAGCGGAAAAGAATGTTCAAAGGAAAAGCAGTTGAAGATATATCTGGCTATGAGGTTGGATGTCATTAGATGCTATTTGTTCTAAGAATGGGAACCATTTTTGGAAGAAACAAGATGGTTTGGAGTTAAAGCCTGCCTGCCTTACATGGTCCATAATTTTCTCCATTATGAAGACTTTTGTGTACCAATGATCAATTGTGGGAGCTAGATGGGACTTCCATCTCGAGGCAGTAGATGTCCATGCAGCAGCTATAAGACTTAAAATAAAGTCGCGTCTGATGTTCTGTATGGAATCGTCAGGCCAGATATTAAGAAGAGTATTTCCAGTGCAAGTGGAATCTCGTAACCTGTGGTAAGTTGAATGTGGGAGAGAACTTTGTACCAAAATGATTTGATGACTGAGCATTCCCAGCAGTGCACATATCAGCCCAATGACCCACATTTCTTCCAAGAGAACTTGGTTGACAAGAGCATTAAAAACAAGGAAACCAAAATGTTATCCTATGAATTTAATTTCAAAATTGGTTGTACATTAAAAATAATACAGGTTGCCTTTTGGGCTTCCTGACAATTTAACGTTAGGTCTGAATGAGGAGAAAAAGGGGATGGCCAACACATAGTAACACTTGTGCTGCAGGATGCTAAATTTAAAACTAATTTATTGACTGAAAATGCAATTATGCTTTTTGAGATTTGCATAAACTGGAACCATGTAAAATAACATATTACATAGACAGTTGTGGCCCAGCACAGAGTTCAGCTGAACAAAGTTAAACACTTTTCAGTTTCATGCATTTCAGTGGAAGACAATGAAGTCATCAGGACACTTAAAAGGGGTTCGAGTCTGCTTTTAATATTTGCAGAGCTTTGATAAAGCTACTCTGAGTATGTGTGTTTGCAATAAATGATGATCGATTATGGCATTACTTTATCCAGCTTACATGAGACCAGGCAGCAATTGATAGCAAAGTTTGGACAGTCTCCTTGTCCTATGTGCAAGTTGACCCGTGGTTCTAATCTGCTATTGCCTTCTAAATATGCTACATTACCATTGAATACCCCCAATCCACAAATAAAAGGGGGAAAAAACAGCACTTCAATACAGTTAGCTTTATGATAGATACATATCACACACCGATCAGGGCATACATTCAAAGAGACTCTTGTGCCTCATATGCCATTAGCCAAATTTTTAATGTTAGATTTCATTTCTTTGCTGTGTAGCAGGTTTTTTTTTAAGGGAGTGGGGAAACCTAGGATTGTATTGCCGGGTATCTTCAATGTTAGGTGAGCGGTATAACAAAAACTGGCTTGCT